CCTGCTATATTACTTAAAATAGAACTGAATTACTAGCTTACTGTATTGCTTAAAATAGAACTGAAGTGTGCTGGAGTACAGTTTGATTATTGTCTGTACTGTCTGCACTCACAGGAAAATGCAAAGAAACTAGAGGGAGAGAACACTTTAATAGCTGATTTTATAAAATAAAATCAGGAGCAGGTCTCAACAGAAGAGAGATCAGGCAGACACAAGCAAGCTAACCCAAAGTTAGCACTGTAATTTCTTACCCCATCCACCCTTTCTGCCTGTATTGTACTATGTAAAAACAAACTGACAAATGGCAATTCATAAAATATTGTGCAATGAGCTCAGGAACAATGCTGCAGCTCCAAAGTGTTTTTCTTCCAATGTTTGTGTCATATAAACCATCCATTGTGTGCTGAGATCCAGTCAAATCTCACTAAAGCTCATTTATTGTTGCTTTGTTTAATGCAAGGAGATCTTGTGCTCTCAGCCAGGAGATACAAGCTTGTGGAGTCACTTTACAGGGTCTTAGACAAAACTGTGGATTTGGAAGAAAGTGACACTCTGGCCTTAAAAATGCACTGCCTGCTTCACCCAGCATGCTGTGACACACAGGAAAGTGAAGTGAGGTAACAGCCAGATAGAAAACGTATAGTTTGAATCTGACCTAAAAATAGGAACTTCTATCTACTAGAAAAATCAGCTCCAGCCCTGCAATTTGGGCCAGTGACATGAATTTTTGTCCCTACCTCTCTTCTTTGGGAAGGTTGCTCTGCCTGAAGTGCTCTTCTGCAGTTACAAAACATGTCTCTGCAGAGGAGGACGAGACTTGCAAGTGTCTGATTTCGTAGCTTGAACAGCAGATTCTTCAGCATAGAGAGGTTGTGGGCAATCCCTTGTTCAGACTGTTAGGAAGAAGCGCTGTGCATTGGCAACTTGTCCTTGAACTGTCCCTTTAAATTAGGGCTTCACACAGCTGAAAATTTGTTCCATGTACAGAGTAGCAGAGAGCAGCCCCAGCTCAGTGCATGCCCTGTGTGAGGTTACCAAATGCTTCAAATCTCCATGAACAGCACAGACTGTTTTGGGTGAGCTGCACAGGACTGGGCTGGGGGCCTGGCTGGGGTCCCCATGGCCCGAGCTCGTGGGACTGTTTCGCTGTATTGTGGTAGGTGCAGATCTGTTGATATGGAAGTGCATTCGCTGTTTCCTTCCCTAATTTGAAGTTGTTGGAGAGATTTGAATGCCTTTCTGTGTTTATGTCCATGTTTGTTTCTAAAGCTAAAGTCTAAGAATTAGTTGCTACCATGTAATATGTTGAATTCTCTTTGAGAGCAGCACTTGTTTGGTTTTATTCCTGTTATTTCACTTTTCCCTTCCTCTCCCCATGATACCATTTGTGTTATTTCATCTTGAGTTCTCCTCAGGAAAAAAAAAGAAATCCATCGCTGTGAGAGGGTGTTCAGTATCTCTTCTCTTTACTTTCTAAGATTAAGAGTTTATAAAAAGGGAGGGGACATTTCAGAATCTAAAGTAGAAGTATGTGTAGCGGCAGCCAAAGAGCTGCGCATGGTGAATAGCTATGTAAGAATGTTGCATTTGACCTGGAAATTGCATTCTTTTAGTTTCAGGCCAAGGGTGTATTGTCTTGCAGACAGCGATGAGGAATCCTCCAGTGCTGGGTCTTCAGAAGAGGATGATGCTCCTGAGTTGGCAGGAGAGAAGCAGCAGACTCCAGGAGCAGAAGGGTAAATAAAGTGTTTATGTAATTCTCACCCCACTCCTTTTTCTTTTTCATTTCCATACATGCTGGTATAAATGGTGTTCTGGTCCAGTTCTGTAATGTTCATTGCGATACAGGGTGCTTTCAAAATATGAGTATATTCAAGCAAAGAAGGCAGTAAAAGAAGGGACATGCTTCCCCAGCATGTCTTGGTAGCAAAACCAAGAACAGAATTTTGTATGTGGGTGTGAAATGCACTGTTTAGACTGCATTTCTGCTGTTTCTACTGCTAAAGGATACCAGAATTAGACCAAGTAGAAGACTGCAGGATGACATGGAAATTTCTGACCTTGTCTTTGGACTAGCAAACCACCCTGTTTGGATACGTGTATTGATGCTGCTGATTCCCTATTTCCAGTGCATCCTTTTCTTTAAGGAAATGTCAGATATCTATTATTCAAGCCTGGCCTTCTCATCTAGTTTTCAAGTGTTTTTTCACTTGAAGGCTTTTGAGCATCTGGGCTGTGTAACACTGCCCTCTGTTGCTGCATCAGGAGAATTCCTAAGGGAATTTCTTAAAAGTCAGTTTTGCCACGTCATTCCCTATTTTTGGCTGCTGTTCTCTGACTTTTTTTTTTTTTAATGTCTGATTGAGATTATAACGTGCAGTAGCTGATTTATAGGAAGCCTGAAATATGTCAGACAACCACAACATTTCCTATGTCTGATCATGTCTTGGTGATTTTACAGTGAATATACCTAAAGGCCTCATGATATTTTCAAAATATTTCAGGGAGTTTCCTTGGAGTTTTGCTCCTAAACCTTTTGAAAACTATCTGATGAATTGTTGGAATTATTTCAATAGATTCTCTTCTTAGTAAATAATTATTTATATGATCTATATATTTTTAAAAGATACGGAGACAAAGAGAGAGCAGAAAGAATTTTTAAGTAAAATTCTTTCTTGTGCCTTACAAAAACCTGCATTGCTACAATAGGACCTCATGAGAGAGTAAGTCTTTTGTTTGGGTAAAGATACAGGCAGCTTAAATCTAAAAGATGAAATTAATGCATCCATTCTATACCAGCTAAGGAGTTTCTTGTCTTTTCTGGCTACTAAACAGAATGGTCTCTAAAAACCTTTATGACCATTAATTTTTGCAAGATAGCAAAATGTCATTTCTTTTGCATGGCCATCTCTCCTATATTACATCAAAAGCCACAATCAGGCATGTTTAGCATGAAGAAATACCAAATACGCTATTCCTATAGGGTATATTCCGTAAATGTGATAAATTTAAAAGCTGGGGCACTGTCTGACACTGTTGCCAGGAAAAATGGCCTCTTTCTTTGCTGGCACAGTTACCCATTTCTGGAATGTCATTCCATGCACTACCAAAATCACCCTCCTCCTCTTTTTCAGCAACTTCCTACTCATTGTAAGTGCAGGAATACCCTAAGACAAAATGAAGATCTTCTTATTGGACATGATGTTAAATAGGTTGGACGTGATGATTGGGCCTTCTGTGCTGAAGATGATCTGCATATGTCTTAGCATATCTGTCTCTTCACTGTTTTCTTTGAACTGTAATAGACAAGTTGGCACTTCTCATACCAGCTTACTGTTAAATCATGCAAGTCTATTTGTGATTTTAATAAAAGATAGGAAAAAGAAAGAAGAAAAGATGACTTCCAGTGCCATCTGTGCAGGAGGAATGCTTAGACTGCTGGCAGGCTTGTAGCTGGCAGTGCTGCTGTGTGCAGGCATCGGTAGATCCTGCTTGGACATGTCAGTACACATCTGTGCTTAGTTTATAGAACTCAGAACTCTGTTTACAGAGTTCATAAACCCTAATGATTTGATAGGAAAGCCTTGGGAGACTTAACAAACAGTAGGTTTAAGAAAATTTCCTGAATATATTTTATCCTGTTCTCTAATAACAGGTATGTCGGAGGACATCGGACAAGTAAGATCATGAGGATTGTGGATAAAATAACTAAGTCAAAATACTTTCAAAAAGCAACAGAGACTGAATTTATTAAGAAGAAAATTGAAGAGGTCTCCAATACTCCCTTGCTGCTAACAGTG